AAAAAAAAAAAAAAAAAAAAAAAAAAAGGTCACCTCAAAATCCCATTTTGATGGAAAGTTATTAAGATTGTATATATGTAAATATTTACTATAGGGCTCTATATATGTAAATTTCCCTTGATAATTTGGTGTGACAAAATTCGGGCATACTCTACAGTCTACAGATAATAGTATTATCTGAAAATAAAGAAAACAAAAAATGTTCGAGTGTCCGAGATCTCAAGAGCTAAAAAATTGAATGTTACTCTTACTCCCGAAGATTTTAATGAAGTATTGTTAGAATTTATGCCACAGGGTTCAATATTCTCTCAGCGAGTAATAAATCATCCGGGGTCGTAACCTGCACGTCATCCAATCATGTATATAAAACAAACTTTATCCAAGCTTTGCAGAGTGTTTAGATAGAAATAAGTTTCAAAAAGGCCATGAATTTGTTTCAAAAAAACTACCTTAATGTTGGTGTAAGATCCTTCAGTAATGTACACGGGATGTCTAAGGTGCTCCACGATCGACACATCATCTGTGACTTCAAGTCCTTCCCTGCAAATATTGACAAATGATTCAGGTGAACACAAAAATAAGATCGGAGAAAAAGGAGTTTGCTCGACTAGAGAAGCATTTAATGTTACTACTCACTATTCACTCAGTAGTGCAAAACTTATCTTGATTTTCTTTTCTCAAAATTTAGAATGTTTTCATGGGAAAGCTAAAGAGATCAACTGAAATGGTATTAGTTCAACAAGAATGAATTAAGCACTACCTATTAACAAGTTCAAAGCCTTTCTTAAGCAAGCCAAGCTTGATAACCTGCACAAATAGTTAACCATTTGCGTGTTAAAAGTTGATATTTTTTTAATATTGTTCAACAAAATCGAGTGATGCTAAGCTACTAACCTGAGGGGTTTGCATTTCCCATAGCGTTTTTCGGTCCAGAGTTTTTACCACAAAAGATTCTGTATTAGCCTGAATAAACGACATCATAATGAGAACATTTTATATACACACACACGCGCGTGTGAGTGTGTGTTTGAAGATGATTGTGAAAATAAATTACGACCTCTTTGATTGTGGCTTTAGCAGGAACACCTAGCACAGCTGCACCGATACGGCTACCATCTTGTAGAACCTGCTAGGAAAAAAAAAAAAAAAGAAAGAAAGAAAGATACGTATTGACATACATTTCTACTAATTCGAAGATGCTAAACGAAGAAAAAAGTCTTCAAATGGACACTAAAATTATTATCAGATGCGTTAACGGAACAAACCAAAAAGAAGATGTTCCAGGAGAAACAAAGGTATATATGTCAAAGATGCTATAATATTAAGAGGCATGACCATTTGTTTAACTCTTGGATTAAGTGAGAGAAGGCAAGAAGGAAGAAAAATGAAGAGTAAGTCGTAAAATATATATATGCTATTATCGAAAAGCCAAATAAAAGATATGCTTGCTAATATGAGGCAGTTTTATAATTCAATTACTGACCATTTGGTTCCCAAAACAATTAACAAATAATAATAGTTGAGATTTTGCAAGAGACCGTGTTAGCTAAATATACAGATAAAACATTTACTGAACGAAAACAATAAATCAAAAGGAAGAAAATACAAAACGTGATTAAGATGTAAGCTTAACCTTCGCTATGTCTCCAGCTAACACCAGAGGTCTTGCAGAGTCATGTATGCAGACTAGTTCAGAATTTGGATCGACAGCCTGATATAAATTCCTTGCATGTCAGTGAAAGAATTTAACTAATCGATTCAAACAAGAAAAAAACTTAGAATGTTTTCTTGTTCAAAAGCATTACTATCCAAAATGTTATAAGAATTGAAACAAACAAAACTAATAACGTTCTGTTTGATCGAGTAAAACTACTGACTACAGCTGCTAAGCAAATGTCTGATATGTGAAAACAATTATTTGGAATGTAAATAGGATACAATATATGCATTCGAAAAAGTAGATATGCCTCTAATCCACTGTATACAGAATCTTGTCTCTCCTTTCCGGGTAAAGCAAATTTGAGCGTCACAAGGATATTCTGCTTGGCATCTAACACAAAAGAAAGAATCTGTATTAGAAGAAAAATGAACTATATCAAATATCAGGAACCTTTTAAATAAATAAATCGATTCAAATTACTTCAGATTTACACAAAGACAAAATCTGCAGACCTTCAAAAATGTCTTGATAAGAAGGATCACATACAACTACAATTTCCTTCACTTCAGGCATCTTTGAGAAAGTGTAGAAACTGCAGCATTAATTTGTGTAAACTGAGACATGGAAAACTATGCTTCATTCATATTTTTATGTAAACTGACCAGCTAATGCATACATAATAATCATATACCTTAAATAAAGGTGTAGATTTGTAGCACTCACCTGTATAAAGCAATCGGTTGTCCTAGAAGTGGAAGATACTGCTTTGGCATGCTTGCCTATGATTTAAGTAACTATAACATCAATGAGATCATAAATGTGTCAAAAAGCGCGCGTGCGCGCGCACACACACACACACACAGACACACACTCACACCAAAAAGAAAAATGACACCAAAATGAAAGGCACAAAAATGTATTGAGGCTAACAGAAATTCTACAGAGCTAGCACATAGTTCCCTTATGCAGTCATGCACAAATTGATACATTGGCTCGTCTCCCAATTGTATTCATTTTCGAACATGCGTCGATACACTATTGTGAGTAATCGTGGATGGCTCCACAAGCCGTGGGTCCATAGCCGAACTGGCGAAGCTAATGCACCAACTAGTTCGAATAAAAAATGACTTACCCCCATTCTTTTGCCCTTCCCTCCAGCGAGCAGAATAACAGAAACACTTTTCTCTTTCACCACTACTTCAGAAGCCTGTTAATCATTTGAGCAAACTAAATTACCATAAACATAAACTAATTTCCAAGAAACCCAAGTCAAATACCACATCAGGGTGAAGAATATCAATCTTCATTGACCTACAAATACACACCTTTGCTGATTCTGCAGAACAATTGGATCTGAAGATTCTTGAGTCCCTCAAAGATCTAATCGTTCTTACATTGAATTTTGCAGGGGAGAAATTCTTGGAAAAATTAGAGCTGCGTGATAATGATGGGTAGAAATTAATGGGATGCTGTAAATTGTTTCCCGAAAATAGTAGAGACGAAGAAGAAGACGAATTTTGGGAGTAAGAGAATGGAGGAGGAGGATAGAGTAAGCTTCCCATTTGGAAAGTTGACATCTTTCTTTAACTCGGCTCTGAATGTAAGAAGCCACTATGAGATAGAGGAAGTGTTGAAAGGGGACAAAAATGTGGAGAGTGATGAATTTGTGAATATTTTTAAGAGCATGCTCCGCGAGGGAGCTCAAAATTTGTGATTTTTTTTTTTTTTTGTTTTCATTTTTTTTCTTTTGATTGGAATTTAAGAATGTCATCTTTATAATTATTTAATTTATTTACATTGTAAATAGTTAATTGTTGTTTGTAATTATTTATTATTTGAATTTGTAAATAAATTTTGCTTGTATTGTTCGATGATTTTTATTTTTTTTTGCCGAAACGATAGAGATTTTATAAAAAAGCACAACTGTGCAAAAGATAGAGTCACTAGCTGAATGTAGACAGCCAATAGCTGAATACAAGCCGCCAACAGCGGAATAAACTGGGAGGACATGGCTGAAGCCCGCCTAGAACCGACCCCAACGGGGTAATATTCTGAACCTACAAACAAAACACGACGACACTAAAAGCTCCCAAATGGGAGAAAAAAAAAAACAAACAACCAAAAGGACCCCAAAAGGGTAATACCCGAGTATCGGACCCCAACAGGGTAATAAGATGACACTCGGGCTCACAGAGGCCAAAGGCCCAAACCTGAAACACTGAAAACAGAAAAACAAGACACGAAGACTACAACCAGAAAAACCTAAACGACATAAATATAAGCCACCCTCGGCAAGAACATCCGGGAGAGACAGCGGACAAAACCACTGTAATTTAATATTTTTTTGTCTTTTGTTTTGTATTTTTTTACAATTTAACAAATGAAACAAAAAGTAGAAGTGAATGTAAAAAAATTTATTAATAATGAGTAGCATAAAAGCTTATGTAATGTTTTCTATGCAATACAATTTGTAATGAATGATGAATATATAATTTTTTTAATTTTTAGTTAATATTTACGGTTTATAATTATTTAATTTGTACGTATTGAAAAGAATTACATGCCGTGTGTAATTATTTTTTATTTAAATTTGTCAATTGGTATTGGTTGTCTTGGTTGATGAGATTGACCCATTTTAATTTAATTTTTTGTTTGTTTTCATTGGTTTTCTTTTTTTTTTTTTTTACTTTTTTATTATTTAATAAATAAAAAATAGAAGTAAACGTTTAACAATTTATGAATAATGAGTATTATAAAAGTTTAGGTCCTGTTTTCTATGCACCACAATTTTTAATGAATAACTCATATAAAGTTTTTTAATTGTTAGTTAATATTAACTATAATTTTTTGTTTCGGTATATTTGTTAAAAAAATTAAAAAAAGGGGAAAAGGTAAAATGTAAAAAAATAAAAAAAAATAAAAAAGAAAAAACATGTGAAAATAGGAATGTAAACTTAAAGAACGGAACAGAAAAAGAAAAGAGAAAAGAAAACTAGAGAAATTAAAATAATATTAAATGACACTTTACAATTTGGGTAGATCGCGTGTAATTTTTTTGTCGCCTGAGGTTTGGGTATCTAGTTTTTTTCTTCGAAATGTCCGCCTTGCTCCTTATCTACCGCACGAAGAAAAATAGGAGCAAATATCTAATTTCTAATTTTACCGAGTCAGGTGCTTGATGTTTTAAATTTCTCCATATTTTTTTTCTGTAGCCATTTAAAGGTAATTAGGCATGTTTTTGTTTATCAATTTCTGAGTTTTGTACACCTATACATGAAAGTTTGATTTTGTTTCTTTTTCTGTTTCTTTTAAATTTAATAGTGAGTCTAATTGTTTGTAGGTTTCTTGTTGAGAATATGTTAGAAATTTTCGGTTTTGATGAATTTCAGTATTGTGTTGTATTTAGGGTTTAAGAATATGTTCATTGAATTGTATTTTTTCTGATTAGGATTTTTTTTTGCTTACATTGATGAAGACGATAATAATTATTTGTTTTGGTTTCTAATGATGTGTATGTTTATAAATGTATTTTTCATTTGAAGAACTATAATATATCATGTATTGGTATTTTTTGTCGTTGTTTTTTTTCTGTTGTTTTAAAATTTTTAAGAGTTGATATATCTGTGTACTCAGTGCATAGGTGTTGATTATGGATGGTCCTTTGGAGCGATTTTTTGTCCTTTTTTTTTTAATCCGTCCAAACGAACAATGGTAATACTCTGTAAAATGTATTATTTTGCATCATGTTGTTCATTGTAGGTGATTTTAAGTTTTATATACAAACATGGAAGACGTGAATATATTTTTGTTGCACTACAGAGGCTGCCATCGGGTCTCGTTCATGAATACAACATGAATACATGCTCCATGTACCTCTTCAATGCACGCCAACTACAAGAGAAGGTTGTACGTATGAGGTGACAATAAGAGGTAATGCTGAGGGGGTGGCATTTCGTGAAGGGTGGTTCGAATTTGTTGTGGTGGAGAATATTCAGCGTGAATATTACGTTGGTTTGACCGCAATAGTCTTAAAGAATTTGATGTCACTATTTTAAGGAAAATGCAATTGAGCGCACTGTGGGATATCATTTTACGCTTGAGATCAAAAAAACACACGTAGAACGTGCACGCCTGGTAATTGAGTAATTATTGTAAATTATATGTTATTATTTGGTGGTATCTTTTTTCTTCTGTATTTATATCATATTTTTAAAAAAAAAAATAAATTGAATGCAGCCAATTCCCATTCAATTTTGGCGGGCACATGTGGTGGGTCAGTACGATGACTTGACTCGTGGGATGTTGGTATTTGCTGAAGGCATGTATAAAGTTGAAATTGACGAAGGGCATGAGAAATTGTTGATGCAAAATGGTCGTGCTAGAGAGTTTGTAAATATAAGTGGAATTGTTGAAGGTTCAATATGCACATTCCACTTGTTTCCTTATATTTATGTTGGTTTTGTGGTGACCATAGTGTGATATGTGAGGTTTCTGTTGTTGGGTACAATTGTTTTATAATTTGACATTATGTAGTGTGATCTGTGAGTTTTCTGTCGTTTGGTGCAATTGTTTTGTAATTTGATATTATGTAATCGTTTATGTAAACCTTTTATTGTTGTGTCTTGATTTTTTTTTTGTTTTCTTTTATTTTTTTTTTTTTACTTTTTTATTTTTTTATTATTTTCTATAATGTTATTTGCATATTTAGATGAACAGTGCGTGTGAGAATTTACGAATTCATGGAAAAGTTGGTATGAAGTTGAAATTGTTGAAGGCCATGGGAAAGTGTTGACGCAAAATTGACGTGCTAGAGAATTTGTTGATATAATTGAAATTGTTGAAGATTCAATGTGTACGTTCAATATGTGTCCTTGTCATTTTCTTTCATTTTTGGTGACTGGAGCGTGATCTATCGCCTTTATATCGTTAGGGACAATTGTTTTGTAATCCGACGTTATTTTATCGGTTATGTGGACAATTGTTTTATATTATTGTTTCTAGTGCACATAATTATTAGTTCATTTGTGTATATAATGAGTAATATGAAAATTATAACATTAGAAATTAAACAACATTGAATAATTTTTAAAATTAGATTTAAAACATGAAGAAAAAAATGTAAAAATGTTAAAATAGGTGCAGATAAATAGATCACTTTTTTGTGATGGATAGTGGCAATCACTATGAATGTTGTTTAAAACTTGGAATGTAAATGTAAGAACACATTTTAGTAAGGCACAGTTGTTATATTAAATGGTAGCAACAGAAAATATGAAATACAAGTTTCTTATGCAATGTGTGAAGATATTCATGGCTGCTCTTCGGTACAAATAACGTGATAAATTTGAATGTAAGGCGACAGTTGAAGTATATATGTACGAACATACTGTTGTAATTGACAACCATTATAATAGGTTAGAAGTAGATATAGGTTAGAAGTAGACCATATATTACACATAAGTCCATCCTCGAATGTTTGGAAAATTCTTAGTTACAAGTGACAATATCCTCAATATGAACACTAATATCTTCTAAGTTGGAATAAATATTCAAACTTAGGAAATATTAATATGTAAGTTCATAGTGTAATTTTGTACGCAACTACATACACAAAAGTTAGGTTCAGAACAAAACGGATGACACACAAGATCTTAAGCATTGATAATTGTTCTGAGATATCGGTTTTAGGACAAAAAAATATTAATTTAGAAGTGCGTGTCATGCATCTTTTTTTTTTTGTCTTTTACTGAAAGTTCCAATTGTTGGCTCTTGTATGGGCTGATCATCTTAAACTGTTGTTGTGCTGCTTGCATTACTTGATTCGATTTCAAAATTGATTGATCTTTTTGCTCCTGTTCATTTTTCTTTCTCAGTCGCAGCTGGTGATGGGGTATCAAGCAGTGATGTGAGCAGTTTGTGTGTCGTCGGGGTGAACTGTTCTTCTACAATGACTTGTTAAGCGTTAACGTACATGTGAAATTAATGTGTAGATTGTTACCTGAACAAATGATTGGTGTGATGAGCAGCTATAAATGTCTCAATTGAAAACAAAATTTTTGCATGGTTAAATTTATGTTAAACCTGTTTTCCCAAGGTGTGTGGATGGGTAGAAATATTTGTTTCTTCCATAGACATTATAGGTTCAATGTTCTCTTCATTCATATAGACAACAACAACAACAACAACAACATAGCTTGACACATCTTTGTCCTGGTAGTCTGGAATGTAGTGTCTTATGAAACAAGTGATCTGTTTTTTTCGCAGTTTGCTTCAACCTCCATGGCAGTTTGAAGCTGCAAGTTACAATTAAAAAGGATACATTTTATACACAAGATTGTTCTATTAGTTAGTGTAAAGTGCATTTTTTTGGTTGCAGAAGTAATATTTGACCTATGACATTAAGTGTTTCATGGATGAATTTAGATTAAATAAAAAAGAAACATGGATTTTGTACTTGGTTTTTGTTCATGCTCATCTGGGCTGCTGTCAGTGGAATTAGTTGTTCTGCCTCTGGACCACTAATGACAACTTGTATAAGACCACTGTTGTCTTTAATTCCCAAGGTAAATCTACACCTGTAATTAGTGTTACAATTATAGTCTAAACAATATTATAAAGAACCTGGAAACATTAGGTATTTAATCTATTATTTGAATATCGAGGTTCAACTCGTCCTTCTGCACTGCAATGAATGCATGTGACTGTCCATCCCACTTGGGCACACAGACATTTTTTGCAATTTTGGCAAGCAGTGAACCAGTAACATGTTTGTCCATGTGTGAGTACTACCTTTCCTCGAACCCATGCGGTTTTCAACTGAATACATTCAATATAATTTTCATTCTGTTGATTATAAAAAATTGTATGGCTGGGTAGAGTGAAAAGTTATGTAGGAAAACTTATCACTCACAATGTGCAAATTTTTTAATGTTGATTGTACTGACAGAATCTCAGACTTATTTGGTGGTGGTAAGAGAAACTTCAGGTCTCTATACACTTTTTGTTCGAACAGATGGGCAACTTCTTTTTTATGTTCAAGGTACCTTTAGATTTAATTTCATACAGATAAATTTCAGTGATATTTAATTTCAGTTCAGCTAAATAAGTCCTGGCAGTCCGGACAATTTGGAAATTTCAGTTTGAAACATCAGTTCGAGCATGAACCAAGATTTTCAGTATTTTTCTGAACCAGTCAGATTGAAGCCAATCATAATATAGTTCTAGACTTAGAAATATTTCAGAGAACTCTAGTATGCCTCAATGAAAATAAATCTTAAAACATTAGTTCGTAAATCCATAAAATGATTTTAAAGCCGAGTGAGCAAACCTAAACATATCAGGTAATAAGATTCGAGTTTTTTTTGTTCAAGCTTAGTACTTAGATTATATTTTGTGCTTATATATTTTGTAGCTTGTGGAGAGTCGAGCCTCCAACAGCTGCAAACCATTAAGCACTTGCAATATCCTGTAATTGCAATATCCTGGCTAAAGTAGGTATGTAAGAGTCCGCCCGAATAAGGGCAATTACCTAGCGAGGAGATCTTTTCTAGCTAAGTGAATCGAGCGCTAGTTTAGATGAAATAAGAATTCTAGTGCAGCTTTGAGGTAAGTTGAATTTTAAACGAGGTTAGAATAATTCTTCCCTAAAGGGCTTTGACCTAGAGATAGGTTCCGTCATAATCAAGTGTTTCGAACCTAGTTAGTATTAATGACTCTAGTGAAGTTGTAAGTTAGCTCCAACCTTAGAAGTGCATAAGAGTTAGTTTTGCTCTAGTATGTGGCAACGACCTACAGATTAGGTCATGCAGTTGCTTATTGCGAGCGTGAAGACCAAGTGTCCTTCTCGTCAGTTAAGCAGTTAGTTGAGCAGCAATTATAGATAGTCAGTTGAGCAACAGATATAGACAGTATACACATTTATACGCCTTGTGATGTGTTCTATCATATCAGAAGTATGTTTCATTCGTGATGTTGCAGTTATAGTCAGCTAGCTGAGCAGCAATTATAGTCAGTCAGTTGAGCAACCATTACAGTTAGTCAGTAGAGCATCGATTATAGTCAGTAAGTCGACCAGCCATTATAGTTAGTCAGTTGAGCAGCATATATAGTCAGCCAGTTGAGCAGCTATTATAGTTAGTCAGTTGAGTAACGATTATAGTCAACTAGTCGAACATTAATTATAGACAGTCAGCTGAACAACAGTTATAGGCAGTCAGTTAAGTATCAGCTATAGATAGTTTGCTTATTTAAATTTTTATTGGATGATTATTTAATCCCCGATATGTTAGTAAAATGTTCATTATCGTATCGTTTATGTCGGTCTAGTAAGTACTTGCATATATGCCGATGTCATGATATGTGATTATATTAGCTGTATATTTTAGTGCCGGCTCCGGCGGAGCATCATTGATTCATTTGTGCTCACGCCCCATACTAACCATTTTTCAGGTGACGGTGTCGAGCGTGGAGCGTGAGCCGTTGATGTGGTGGTGGTCATAGCAAGGATATTTTTGTGTAAACATGTCATGTATATTTGAACATGTTTGATTTGTTATGCTTTGTTGATGCATGCTTGCATTTGCTTCCACACTCGAAATATCTAGAATTTCAGTCTATGCATGTTTAAATCTTGAGATGTTCATGGAGCCTTATTAGAATAATGAATTATACTCGGTTGCGTGCCTATTAGTTTAAAGATATTAAAGATTAAAGATTTTAGATTAAAATTGTAGCTCCCGCATATTAAAGTTAAAGTATTTTTAAAAATTAAATCAGAGCTTTCATTTTATAGCGCGAAAAAATTCCTCTGGTTTTAGTAAGTCTAGGCGTGGTGTTACATCTTTTCAAGTAGGTTGCTTTCTACCGGCATGGAGGAAGAAGACAAGACGAATTCCAACCGTGACGTTACCAGCCACCAATTTGTCGGAAAAACACCACAAAAATCTTGGCAGCGGCGTGATAGTGGCCATAGCGGTGGCGGTGAGTCAAGTCGTGAGGTTGAAGTAGACTTGGGGGACCAACTTATGAATTTCGAGAAAAGATTGCAGAATAATTTTGGTATGAAAAACTATGCTTATATAAAAAGACATTCTATTTACTAGAATTAGTAGTAAGAAAAATTAAAGGTAATTAATGCATTCTATTTCCATCAAGTATTTTATTTAATTATTTTTTAGTTAATTATTTTATCTCATAACACATTTTCAATACAACTTACCATAATTTTTCTATTGTGATTAAAAACCAAATTTTACGTTTAAAATCTTGTGAAATTATTATTATTATTTTTATAAATGTAACACCCCTCCTTACTAATAAAATCAGAGTAGCGCAATAATTCGCAAAGTTATTAAAAATAAAACCTTTTTACTTTGCGAAAACTGATTCGGGGTGCTAC